ATAAATAAATACATACATACATACATACATACATACATACATACATACATACATACATACATACATGCACGCACGCACGCATATATTTATTCATTCATCATACAGGACATACATTTTATGCGCTTTCTTAACACATACACGCACACAAACACACACACATATATATATACACACACAAACACACACATACATATACATACATACATGCACATACATACATACACACATACATACTCATTTATGCACAGCAAAGATTGTTTGCTTTTACATTTCTCCACACACACACACACATATATACTCATGCACATACATACAAATACATACACACACATACATACATACATACATACATACTCATTTACGCATTTATGCGCAGCAAAGATTGTCTGCTTTTACATTTCTCCACACACAGTATACGCATGCACATACATATACATACATACATACACATACACACAGATACACACATACATACACACTCATCTACGCATTTATGCACAGCAAAGATTGTCTGCTTTCACATTTTTTTTTTGTCTTCTTTTTTCATAATTTTGCACTTTTTAACGTATTGAAGCTGCTTATAGAGTGAGAAGCCATAGTGATGATGTGGAAATACTCATAAGTCGTGATTTTCTACAGCCGTCACGGAGACATGAACGTGATCACTCGTTTATTTTCCCGAAAGGCCTCTTTGGCATTTTCATTCGCAAGGTACGTCTACTTGTGTGTATAAATACCGGGAATATGGTTTTTTTTGCAACTGCACCTTTTTGCCGCAAATTTTTTAATAATTTATTACTTGGATTTAGCTAATTCGATTATTACAATAATCGCATTTCTTCCGTACGCTGCTGACAGATTTTTCTATTCTCTAAGACCCCTTTTATCCACATAAATTCAGTTGGGACCTCTCTTATCCACGCAAATCCATACATGAAATTATACACATTTAACTGCATGAAATTGTACAGACTTACTACTGGAACTACACAGATTTAACTGCGTGAAACTATACAAAAAAAAAAAGGAAAAATTAAAACTCGGCAACCAGAAGTTAATAATTTTCCTGCACAAACTTTCATACGCCCTTACCTGAGTACCATTGATAGCTTGGGGCTGATTGGATAGGGAACATTCCCCCAAAATTTCAGCTTTCTAGCTTCCCTGGTACCCGAGTTAGCAATGTTCAAGCCGTTTTGCTCTATTGGTTTCTCATGCGGGCTTTTAGCATTGCGCGGATATCGTTCAGTTAATTCCATAAAAAATTTAATGCCTGAGAAAACAAAGCGCCACGTATTTCGGTATATTATGCTTTTATTTCCCTGTGTTTTTGCGGTATTTTTTTATCGCTTAAAAATTTAAGATGGCGCTTACCCAGAACAGACAAAGCTTGACAGAAATCCAGCGAACTCACCAGCAATGGTTGGAGTGGCTGAAAGATGCCCGGGTTGCTGCACGTGATGATCTCTTCGGTACCTATGCCTTTCATGGTCTCCAAAGAACGTCTTTCAAATCAGGTATATCATTGATTTTTTTTGTTTTTGGTCAATTTTCGATCTTCTGGCAATAGGTCGAGGGCAAAGCTAATTAATGAAATAGCCGTTAATTTTGGTATTTGTTTTGAAATAGTTGTACTGAATTACGATTAGTCGAAAAAAAGCTAAATTTTGGTACAGGTCCAGAGCAAAGTTGATGTGAAAATAGGCTGATAATTTGGTAATTATTTGAAAATAGTTCTTAATTTGGTTAAATAGCTATTAATTTGAGTAATTTGAGCAAAAATTTCGCAAAAATTAGTGAAATTTTTGACGGCTTCAGGCATTTAAAGGGATGAATTGCTCTGGCTTTTCATCGCACCGGCGATCTGCCATGAACCTTTTTTCCGTGCTTACTTTGACCAAAGCAAAGATTTGGTCACTTGTCTCGATTTTTTCTTGCTTATCATGTCGGTGATCAGGCCAAAAATTCATGATTTCTGTATTTCCAGGGCAATCATTTTTTTTTCCGTATTTTTTATGCGAAAATTCATGATTGGTGATCAGGCCAAAAATTCATGTTTTCTGTATTTTCAGGACAATCATTTTTTTTTTCCGTATTTTTTATGCGTTTTTTTGAACCGTGTGCCCAAATTCCTCAATTGATTTCGGCTTTTAAAATGCACCACAATTCATCACTGGTGGTGTCTTCCAGGGCCAGCCCCGCAAATTCTAGTAATAATTTACACTTTTACTGAAATCCACAGCCCAGTTTTGAAATGTAATTGATATAAAAAAGCATAATTTTTGCGGAATTTTTATGGACTGTGAATTTGGACGGACGCCAACAGAATGGTGGTAATGCTAGCCATGATATTGCTCATTTTATTCCTGTTTTTTTAGATAAGTTTGACAATAAGTGTGGTCGTCGACAGTAATTTGTCCAGAGATCGTTTAGTGAGACATACATTTTCAGTGACTGGCAATAATTATTCTGCGGTAGCTGAGAGTATTTTCGGGCCTGACTACTACTTTTTAGCTTTTGGTGTGAATCCTCGTACGATCGAAACTGACTGTGAAGGTAGAAATTTAATATTGATTATTGCCATTCATCATAATAATTAACAGTTAATTTTTTTTCCTTTTTCTAAAAATTGCCAACAGTTTATCAGTTTTTTTTTCTTTTTCATTTTTTGAAATACGTTGAATAGTCTTGGCATCTTTCCAAATTGTACAATTTATGTATTTTTTAATTATTTTGCCACCTCACTTTGGCGACCCAGATCTGTGGGATTCCGTGCGTATAACTGTGTGTAGTCATCCTTGTAAAATTGGTGACCCAGGCGGAATCCGAAACCTTTTAACCACCCCGAAGATGACTTTAGTGGAGGGACCGAGTCATTGAGGGCATGGCTCAGTGGTGCGATAGCAAGGATGAACAATGTCGGCGAAAGGGTATCTCCTTGAAAGATACCATGAACCGTATCGCTCAGTGGTCAGCTAGCCCTCAGTGATCAGCGTTTTGTCTCCGATTTGGATTATCAGCGTAAATTTAGGTTCCGAAAAAGCATTTTTCAAGTAACAGCTCAGGCACACCTTTAGCATAATTTCGATACACTTAGCAGCTCTACTGCTTGGTTGTTGTGACCAAAGTTGCATCATATGGGGATAATAAGCTTACTGATTGTCGTGGCTACCTTCAGCTTCTTCCCCCCTTGTTGTATCTTCCCGGAAGAAGTACTATTCCTTGTATTGTTTAAAACCTTAAGGAATTCAGCCGTTCTGAATTTTCTTTGACTGTACGGGCCGTTATTTTCTTTTTTTTTTAGTCGGCCTACCAACGGCTGCAAAAAATTACTTGACAATTTCACCCTC